ATATATATATGTATATATATATATAGCTACAAGCCATTCCATTCCGTGTTGCCTAGGATTGCCTGCTGGGTCGTCCTGAACGAGTGCCCGGATGCCTTCAATCTCATCGGCCCGGACTGTAGCAGTTGGGGCCTGCCAGCAAGATCCACAAGTATGAGGTCGAGCATCAATCCATTTGGGAGGATGGGTATTGCTTGGGTCTCTTCGAACTACTGCCTGGTGAGCAGGCCTATTCGAGTTCGTGTGATCATGTACACAGAGTCTAGGCAAAAGCTTGCATTCAGTTCACAAGTGCTAGGCTGGTTCTCCTCCTTCTGCTGGTCATGGCTAAGCAGTGCACATGGGTGGTTGAGCAGCCCCACCAGTCTTTATTGAAGACACACCCACGCTGGGACTGGATGTGCAACCAAGTTGTGCGAGCTTCTCAGCTAAAGACTATAACAACCCTAAACCCCCACTATATAAACCTATAAGCCTCTAACAGAAACCCTATATAATTCTAAAACCCAAACAGTGCACGCCTGTAGTTGCTGTGTCTTTTGCAGATTCTGTCTCTAGCCTGCTGAATATCCCAAGGTTTTCCAACAACGCTTTTGGATGATGCTACATGGTGCTGCCAGCCCCAAGCCTACAATTGTGTTCTCACCAATGGCTACCATATCCCAGTTGGACCTCGGCCGTCTTACCAAAGCGGAGAAACAAAAGCGCAACAAGCTGACGACGGTCCGCACCACTGCTGAATATAAAACTCCCGGACCCAATCTATACTAATGAAATCAGCCAGCCCAGCTACCTAGTTCGCAGCCCAGGAAGGCACCTCGACAAGTTCGGCCGCCCTCGCTTCACGGGTCGCAGGAAGGAGCTGAAGATGTCTGGGAACCTGGGCGACACAAGGGCTTAACCTATAATTTGGAATAGGTTCTGACTGCTAAACTCCGAACTAGATTACTAGATCGAAACCACGAAGTGTCCCAGAATGAGCGAGTATGAAAGGCATGCTAGCAATGCCCTATGTATGTACTCGGGTTCTTTAATGTTATAACCTCTAGACAAGCGAAGCCAATAGGTTGAGGTTTGCACACGTGTGTGTACATGTATATATATATATATATCTATATATATGCATATGTATGTATGCATGAATGTATATACATATACAGCTGTATGTATATATATATATATACATAGCATGCATTCATACCCATATACACATGCATGTACACATCACATATACACATGCATGCTTGCATAGCATGCACATACACGTGCCAGCTGCTTGCTTGCCTCCTAGGTTCTATATATACGTAGCAACCATGCCATCTACCTGTACTATACCAGACTACCTACCTGCCCATCTAGGCAACCGAGCCTTGATCCCGAAACCTCATCCAATCCCTTAAACCTGCCACCTGCAAACCTGTTTCACACTCAAATCCCAAAGGGCCCGAAGTCTTCGGATATCAAGCAGTCCAGGTCTTTGAGGGCATTTTCGAGTCTAAGGCTTTTCGGCCTAGGGCTGAGCACTTGAAAGCTCAAAGCCTTTTCGGATGGACGCCTTCAGTTTCAGTATGTCTGTTTTAAAACGTATATGTTATAGAGGGAGTGCTTTATCGGGCATTTAGGCACCAATTAGGGTTTAGGCCGTATAGGTAGGTAGGTAGGTAGGTATAGGTAATAGCAGGTAGGTGTTTGGGTAGGTAGGGATGTAATCAGGTAGGTAGGTAGGTAGGTAGCTGGGAAGCAGCAGCAAGGTAGCTATAATTAGGCGGTAGCTCGGAAGCTAGGAGGGTAGCTGGGTGGTAGGTAGGTCTGTAGGTAGGCAGGTAGCCAGCCACTGCATCCTCACCCAATAACCTTAAGAGTTGCCTTGCTAACTAAGTGCATACACCAGAGACTTCGGGAAGAACCTGCTCAAGGCCTATGAGGACTGGAAGGTGATGCCGGCTGCCACACGGGGAGACTTAAGGGCTCGACAGGGTGTGGACCTCTCAATGAGTGACCGGGAGATCTTCCAGGCGTTGCCCACCGGTGACTTGTGGGTGGACAGTCGTGTGCACGAGGTGTTCCTGTACTTGTGCCGTTGCAAGTATGTGGAGCTTCTCGATTGAACATGATATGGTGTCCATATGGCTAATATATTCTGCGAACAGTAGCATGCCGTCATATCAGGATACCGGACAGCTGGCACGATGCGATGAAGGAGTTCAAGCAAGAGGTCCTAGACACCGCACCTTTTCTGAATATTTGCACATGAAATGTCTGCCGTGAGTATTCTGTGCCGACCCAAGGCATGTGGCTCCGAGGACTTGCGAAGTGAACTGCAATCCTTAATTCGACAGTCCTCGGGTTCCAATTGATTTGGGGCTGGCTGCTGCTGTCTGCCACGGTTGCAAGCTGGGGCTCTTGGCTTGCTAGACTAGTTAGAAGGCAATCCACCGATCTCCGGCCGAGTTGCTGCCTCCCCGGACGACTAGATATGCTAGACTATTTAGAGAGCAATCCCCTGAACTCCCGGCCCCCAGGCTCCCGAGCACAACCATAGACTCGCTAGACTATTTAGAAGGCAATGCCCTGAACTCCTGGAGTACGGCCCCCAGCCGCCCGAATTGCTGCCTCGCTAGACAATTTAGAAGGCCAGCCCCTGAACGCTGGACTGTTTAAGAAATTACCGGTCTCTTTTTGTTTTGGGTTGTTGTCGTGGTAAAAGCCAAAATAAAGCGGACGGTTTTGCCCGCAACCCGGCCGCAAATCCCCGCAACCCGGCCGCAAATCCCCGCAACCGGCCGCAAACCCAAAATCCATATCAAACCGTAAAACACAAGCGGCTGTATTCTTCAAAATCCGGCTTGATTTGCAGATCCGTGGCCTCGTAGAATCTGATTCCAGAAGAGTGCTGGGGTATCCTGCCAAAAGCCGAGTTCGTGTCTGCATCTTTACAATCTCAGCATGCCAGTGTCTTGCCAATGCGACTGCTGCATGTAGCTCTTGCTGGGAGTGTGTGGATGCGTCCCAGAACGGCTCTAGGTAGTGCTTATGGCATCCAGGAAAGGATCCTGCAATTCCCTGTTAGCTGGGATTAGTTTGCTAGGGCAAAACTCGATGGCTGATCAGAGCTCAAAGCCTGCAGATGATCTCCAGGCTCGCATTGCAGCCTTCTGTCAGCACTTATTGCACGCAGCCCTCTAGAAGTTGTTGCTAGCTAGTGCAATCGCCCACACCAAACCCTATCCTATCACTAAGGCTTCCAGGGCGAAGATCCAAGCTTTGCAAGCGCAGCTCGCGACCCGCAAGTCCTCGAATGCTGCAGGAGTTCACGCCGGTGCACCAACGCCTGCAGGTCACACGAACAGCTACTTAAGTGTGTGTGTGTGTGTGTGTATACACGCATATGCATGGCATGTGGCTTCTGCATCTTATATGCATGTGTATATGTATCCCAAGGTGCCCCAGCTCTGGCCAGGATGGCTTCATGTGAAGGGCTAGCTGGTACCTTCGCTGTGCCTATGACAAGCCCACCGAAGTCTTTTGGGACTCGGAGTGTGGGAAGTGATTCCTACGACAGCACCTTGGAAGATGCACAGTGCCCGTTCCCCAGAAAGAAAGACTTCGTCCCCACAGCCCCCGACCGAGCCGTGCCACACGCAAACCCCTCGCCTGGAAACCCTGGCCACACCTTGCCTTCGACTGGACCAGTCGGAAACCCAGGCTACACACACCTGCCAGCTGCAAACCCAGGCCACACAGACGTGCTGGCTGCAAAGCCGGGCCACACCTTGTCTTCGACTGGACCCGTGCCACCACAGGCAAACCCAGGCCACGCACACGTGCCAGCTGCAAACCCTGGCCACACCTTGCCTTCGACTGGATCCGTGCCACCACTGGCAAACCCAGGCCACAGCTTGCCTTCGTCTGGACCCCATGCGCCACCACCGGCAAACCCAGGCCACAGCTTGCCTTCGACCCATGTGCCGTTGCCGGCAAACCCAGGCCACAGCTTGACTCCGACTGGACCCCATGCGCCACCACCGGCCACAACCCAGGCAAACCCAGGCCACAGCTTGCCTTCGTCTGGACCCCATGCGCCACCACCGGCAAACCCAGGCCACAGCTTGCCTTCGACCCATGTGCCGTTGCCGGCAAACCCAGGCCACAGCTTGACTCCGACTGGACCCCATGCGCCACCGCCGGCAAACCCAGACCACAGCTTGCCTTCGACTGGATCCATGCCACCACCGACAAACCCAGGCCCGACTCTTGACCGTCATGTGACCCCGAAGAAAAGCAGGACCCGAGAGAGCTTGGACGAAAGCAGATCACCCCCCGAGAGTGTGACCCCGCCTTCCTCGAGCACAACACCGGCCCCAGTCCGAAAGACAAAGACGAAGAGGTCTAAAAGCCCAAGCTACTGGCAGAGTTTCGATTGCAGCAAAGTATAATTCAATATATGCCCAAAACCCAAAACCTTAAACCCTAAACTTAAACCCTATATACGTGTATGCATGGTATATAATGCATGTGTACATATTGTGGACATGTGGGCTCAGGGACGAAGTGCATGTACTTACAATCACTGCTGCGGTTCTGCTGAGGATGAGGCGATACTTTGAACCAAAGAAATGCGGATCCCTCAAGTGCAGTCCGGAGGCCCTCGCCTTGTACCGATCCGCTGAAGGCCGCAGCTGGGCTATGACGGTTTCAATACTGTAACATATGTGATATCTACAAATAATGCAAACCCCCTGTGCTTGTGCCTAGGTACCAAACTTCGCGATCTCTTGAAAACCCACGGAAGCTTCAAGGCCCTTGAGTTGCACGTCAAAAAAAGCCACTTGAGTAGCTACGGCAAGAAGAAGGAAGGGCAATGGGTGACGAAGCAATACCTGATCCAAGTCCTTCACTGGACCCCGCCAAGGCCTAAGTTCGATTGCATGCAGTGAAGGTTCCATTTGCATGGTTATTGTTTTGGGATTGCATTATAGCACTACACTAACATAAGGAAGATGGTAGCAGCTGCCTGGCAATGGGCAGCCAAGACCAAGAACTTGCGCAAGAACCCCATACACGGGGAGGAGGAGGCGAGATTGGTTTTGACGGACCGGTTCGAGGCAGAGGATGTTACCTCGACAGAGACAGCCCTTCGAGGGACCGTCGACGTCGAGGAGTGCCACATGATTCCTTATGATCGATATAGCTTTCCAGTTCGGGTTCCCCGAACCCTTCCAAACCATAGTGCATCCCTACCAGGACGATTCCGGATTCTTGTTCTCGAACGACGTACCGAACATCGATGCGGAAGAGCATGCACTGGCGAACGGTGTTGCAACCGCTGCTGCAGCCTCCAGTGCCACAGCCCAGCAGATGGAATCCTTCTCCGCGAGTGCATCCTTCAAGCAGCCAGCTTGCATTTGCTATTCGTCCACTACACGACACCTCTCTAGGAACGAAGGCAACCTGCATTAAACCCAAGCCCCCACGAACCCTATAGTGCCCATATACCCCAAATCCGAAGGCTTACTTTCCCAAGCTTGTCGCAGACGAGCTCGCCTGTCCAGCTGTTGCCCGAGTACTTAGAAGTGTTGGGCCGCAAAATCGACAACACCGAGGATGTGCTGGACCGTGGGGAGGGGGGGTGGGGTTAGCTTGCAGCACCTAGATAGATTTGGTTGGGCACTTGATTGAATTTATATAATTGCCCAGGATCGGTTGGCAACTGTGGGAGGAGCTCGTGCCACAGCGCTACTCCACTGCACTTAAACGACATTGGCTGTGTGTTAGGTTAGTGCACACTGATCGATCCCCAAGGCTCCGCGATCAGATCGCAGAGGTGCTCAAGGGCATGAAACTGATGTTCAGCGATCTGACCAAGAAGCAGTCTGATGCCTTGACCCGCCCGCTGGATAAGCTGCTGTGCTCAATTACGAATGCAATTGAATCCCCTGGGGCGAGATACCTACCGAGGCCTTTCTCGGACTCCATCCTTCGCATGTTTGCTGATGTGACGAAGCAGGACCTCATCATGAACAATTACATTGTGAGATCGAAGTCTCTTGTTTGCAGGAACAAGATGCACTCCTAGTTTGCATCGCATTCTTACAACCTCCGACAATATACAAGCCCCGGGACTGTAAACCCAGATCCTCGACCCTTTGACCCCATATGATATAGTATACCTTCAAACCCGTAAGGCTTCCTTAGCACAAGGTCGCTTAAATGCCCTTTGACCCAGCCCACGCCATGGTCCCTAAGCTTCTTATCTTAAGCCCTGAAGATGTTCTCATATATATATATATACATATATATATATATATATATATATATATATTATTATTATATATATATATATATTGTCCCTTATACACCCTGAAGGTCCTTAGATAGAGCTCCTAGCCCATCCCACTAAACCCTAAACCCTTAAACCAGGGACCCTACAAGCCTGTAAAGCCTATCTATATCAGGTCGGTGAAATCCACAGCAGGGTCCTCGAAGCCTGCCAAGAAGGGCAAGTCCAAGGATAAGCATGATAAGAAGGAGAAGTCAAAGCCTTCCAAGAAGGGCGGCGGGAAGAAGTCCAGCCCGAGCAAATCTAAGGGAAAGAACCCCAAAGCCGGTTCCTGATTTTCCTTTGAAGATCGACCTGATTTTCCTTTGAAGATCGATGATCGCAATTTGCACTTATAGGTGCCCAGTTGCTGTATCTACCCGTTTCGTGTGAAGTTACGAGTTCCTGTGCACACGCGGGGAGGTTGTGCAAGAGCGCAAAAGTCAGTGCCGACTTGTTTGTCCGGACACATGTTAGGTGTGCCACGTTGCAACAATACAGCTCACTTTGTAGATTCGTTAGTGGCTAGTGCAGATTCGAACATCTCCGGGCAGGTATGTTCCCACGAGCAGGGAATCATGGCAGTGCCGACAATGATGATGAAGGTCGCTCCGGTTAGGGTTTAGGGGCTTGGGGTTTAGGGCCTAGTCAAGGGAGAAAGAGCATACAAAATCCCTTGGAAGCCCAAACCACCTTAAACCCATCAAGCCCGCCTTTCAAAGTAAATCTAACTCACAAACCCCCTCATCATTTGCAGTAACTATCCTGTCGTATTCATGAAGCTCACCTGTCGAATCGCATCAACTCCCCGGCTATAGATTATGCAAACTGCAATGATCGTTCAAAGTCCGAAGCCTTATCTGTTAAGTGCCCAGCTAATCTTTCCGCCCCAAGATGGATTCCCTAACCTGGCTTTAGATCGCCTTGGAATATCCCCAGGCCCTGACCATAACCCATGAAAGGTTCCAAGCCCAGGCCCCCCCCTAATCTCTACAACGACTATTCTAAGCACCCCGCTGGCACCACGCAGGCTGTCTGAGCGAGGATGATACTGATGACGACCTGGCAGCCGAGCTTCTTGTGGGATTTCAATCAGGTGTGCCTTGTACTCTTCAGCTTATATAGCGAATGTTCGGGTTAAGGATATCTAACTCTATCTGTAAACAGGATGGTATGCTGCATCGCTTAAGGCAGAGACTGCAGAGCGGGTTGTTCGCATAGCACAAGTGGCAGCACGCAAGCTGAAGAAACTCGGACTCTTGGCACCTGCAACTTAATTCGCATGGGTCGAGGCTGAGTGATAGTATTCGAGATAACATACAGGGCCCATACTGTCATCCGTATACTATCTGGTTACAGGCCTGTAGACCCGGTGGAGTTGACAAGTTTGACCTCGTGGGGACCTAGACACTCCTAGCGACTCCTAGTTAGTGCAATTGTGGGTTTACACACATCATATCGGTTGTGTCCTAGAACGGTTGAGGTCCTGTCGAACCTGGGCTAAAAGCCCTGGCAGCTTGCGGGTCTGGCAATCGTGTTGGTCGCAATGCTTCTCGTAGTCTACACAAGCTTATCGTACGACAAGGCTATACTCTTCCGGTACATATTGACTTCGTGGAGACCCCTGTGCGTGTTGTCCACAAGGGCAAACCAAGCAAGACCAACATGAGCTTCCCGGTGATCAAGCCATCTTCGTGGCTGAGTTACTCACTCAGTGTGGGTGGGGAAGCCTTCCTAGGAGGATGCTGCCTGGATGCTGAAAGTGCTTACTCGACAATGCTGGAAAGTTTCTGGAGCAACTACCAATCTAGCCATCCGGATTGTCCTTGCTTTACCCGAGACGATTGGTGTCCAAGCAGAACTGTGCCAATTTGCATTCACGGTGACGAGGGCCGTGGAAAGGCCAAGCATCCGATAATGGTGTTATCGATACAACCGGTAGTCGGATGGAAGGGTCTTCAGCATGTGAACAGCAGTGGGTGACTGGGCTATGTTTTGTACTAGACTTATAATCGTCCTTATACCCCTAAACCCTAAACCCTAAAAGTCAGCACCAGATCTGTTACAGATGCAGCTAAGTTCCTGATTGAAACCATGATCCCAGAGGCATTCTTTCAGCACACGGATGTTATTTACTGTCATCCCCAGCCAACTTTATTGGAATGACCTCACCTTGGACACGTTGATGGAGAGCATGACCCAGGACCTGCTGGAGTTGTATGAGAATGGACTTCAAGCAGCTGAGCTGTTTCAGCTTAGGCTATGAGGATCCTGTGCAACTTCTATGACTTAATTAAACTATATGTATTGTCTAGGTCTAGGTTTTTATGAGTGGTCGACTATGTACCTATGCAAGGTCACATACAAACAGAGGGTGTTATGCTTCAAATTCGCGGTGCTGGCGGTGAAGGGTGACTGGCCGTTTTTGAGGAAGGCGATGAAATTGGCCCCTGGATTTTCTTCCAAGCTCAAGTGCCATCTTTGTATGTCAGAGGATCCTTAATTGCCTAAGCCTCTGTACTTCAAGCTTATGTTTATTATTAGTCGCGGTTATATATTGCAAGGCTTAGGGGCCTAGGGTTTGTTACATACCAGGAGTGGTACGACTTCAGCAACGATGCTTTGACACTTGCACATGCTCAAGATCCGATGCCTACTCCTTATAAATGCAATGAACCGCCGGCACCGTTTCGACTCCTACCGACAATCGAGTACGACCGGGGGACCATCAAACCGGATGTAGCGCACACATATGCCATCGTGGGGTGGGGGAAGGATCTTGCCGCCAGCTCATTGGTTTTGTTGTTCCGCATGGATGTGTTCCCCGGAAGATCTTTGCAGATCTGTTTGGACGCAGCATACACTGATTTCAGAGATTACTGCCATCAGCATGGAAAGGCTACTTCCATCCCCCACTTCAGTTTGCAGACGCTGAGAGTGGAATCGCATCTTGCCAGGTTTTAGATATATGATCATATAATTTGGAATTACATATTTCCTATTTATAGGTCGGGTTATAGGGATTAAGTAGGGCTTATTAAAGCTGCTACCATGTGGACTGCAAAGGTTGCAAGAATACCCTGCTGGATGTGGGAAGGGGCACGACTGTGGCCTAATGAACGCCTGGCTTGAGGATCTAATTGGCCGAATCGATGAGACTACCCTGGTGCCTTGATTTCCTATGGTTCCCGTAGCCTAATCTAGATCGGGGTCTATTTCCAGTATTAGATGAGGCTCCCGAGCACTTGGAAATGTTCAAGATCCTACAATGGACCATGCAATGCTGTGGGGTTCACTTTCGAACACTTTACGGTTCTGGAATTTTTCTGACCCGAGAGCATGCCTCGATCGCGGTTGAAAGCGGCTGGAAGATGTTGGATCCTCGGCCTCAGTCGGGTGGATTAAGTTGTACGGTTCTGTGTAATAAATAGCCAATAGGATCTATATGTATTCGTTGCAGGAAGGCTACCATCGACTTGCCCGACTGGCTGCCGAACGCAGATGGGTCCTTTATCGTATACGACCCAAGATCCACATGCAGGCAGAGATTATGCAGCTGTGCCGAAGAAGTATAAGCTAGGTTTATGGCATATCACACACCACTTGTAAACTATATAGTCCTAATACCGACCCGGCTTTTACTGACAAAGATGTACTAAGATGGGCAGTGCAAGCACAGCTGAAGAGTTCTGCTACTTCTGCAGTGGTCAATTGCATGTGCTACCTGGTTGCATTCCTGCAGGCTTTTCTGAAAATATATTTACGACGAGCATTAACATCATGAACATCAGAACATCATGGTATACTCTAGGCTGGAGCACCTGGACGGACGAAGATTTTATTGGCCGTGTCAGCAGAGTGAGTAGACGGTGCCATGCGGCAACAACGGTAATCCGAACACTATCCAAGTGCCTGGTCTTTTACAAGACGGAGTGGCAGAAGCTGTTTGACTTGCGCTGAGCATCGGGCCGAAAATCGGAAGACGAAGTCGCCGTAGTCGGGGAAGAGGGATGTGCGTGAGTATGTATCTGTGCACGTGTGTGCGACACAAGCCCTGAAGCCTACCCTGATCCATTCTAACAACCACCCCGATCAAAACCCCCAAACGGGTATCTCAACAGGAGAAGCAGATCCTCAACCCCCAATGTTATGCCATATATGTTAGCCAACCCCATAATCTTGCCTTCTTGTAACCGTTCCGTACACATTTGTCATAAAGCGGCCACATCTGCGAAAGCGGCCATAAACACATAAGTTTGATACACAAATATTTCGTTACGGAAATAAACATCACAGAAGAAGGCCTAGGTATTATAAGGACCCCAAAATAAGGCACCCCTACTTTTCGGAAACTCCCAGTTTTGGAGTTCGACTCGACTGGGCCTGTCCCAATAATTCTTAAACGCGACGCGTCCGGCAGCTCCCGGGATGGGAGACAGAAGTAGGTTCTAAGTAGAGATATAAGTACCCTAAATGGAGCTACCCCAATTATAAACCTACTTATAAACGACTTACTAAGTCCCCTGCCCCTCCAAGTAACCCCACGTTCGAAGTGTTAGGGGGCTCTTCGGGCGTCTTGCTGGGCTTTAAAGTAGCCAGAGTGAAAAAAGTATAGACTTTTTTCATAATTGGTTCCCTTTAAGTAACAGGTCCCAAACAAGTATTAAGGTATGGTACTCCAAAGCCCAGCTTGTGTCTTTGGGCAGGGGACGATTTCAGAGTTTGATACATTACAATGGTGAGTGGTTGCTGTTTTGCTGAGAATGTTTGCAAAGTGCAGCCCACTGGCAAGATTTTGGCAATTTGGATACGAGTGCTTGAGGATGACGCGCAAGGTCTTGCGCAGCGAGCTGCTCGGGCTTGCATGTTATGCATACACATGATGCTGCGAAGCTTGGCGTTTGCCTTGCTGCTGGTGGAGCGCGACGGTTGTCGGGTAGTGTCTATATAGATTCGAGACCCCTGTGGTGGGCCTGAGAGCTTGCCTTACACTAGTGAACAATGATGGTTGTCCCGCCACCCTTCTGTCTGCAAGGTTGCCTGCTACACGATGTGCTGAGGTACCTGCCCAGCGACGCGTTGAGAGGGATGAAGGGTCTGGGGTTTGGGATTTGGGCTTTGTGAAGTGCAGCTAGTGCCGTTACATTGCTTAACGCAAGGAGTAGGATGCATAGGTATGAGCCTGAATCCCTTTTTGCAGCTTCAAAGCGAAGAGGAGGATCAGGATTGAGCGAAGCGCTGCAGAGGTTTGAGGTCTTAATCGCATAGACTTTGTCTCTGGGTACAGTATACTACTCAAGTATAGTAGTAGGAATGGGAAGGAATAGCATTGGTAACTACTCAGGCGCTGTAGGAAGCGAACCCAGCTTGAAGCACGACAGGTGCAGAGCTAGGCGAGCGAGGACATGGCACCAATGAGTCATCGAGAGCAAATTCCGTTGAATAGCACCTCTAGGCGCGGCATAACACACATGTCGCTCTTGGTCTTGGGAAGGAAGTGTGTCAAGATGCTAAACCCTAAACCCTAACTCTACGTGCATGAAACGAGACGAAAGAAGCATCGATCAACAGTCTGCTGCCTTTCAAGCAGTTCACTTATAACCCTACACCCTTGTAAAGGACCTCTCAAGTTTAAGGGAACCCTAAACCATTCCAATGCCTACATTCAGACAGCTCTCCGGCCGCGCGCACCCGGGCCCCAACCCACCACTGCATCCTAGCCTCCGCCCCGGAACTTTGATGGCCCCGATGATGTTCTGGGTTCTTGTTAGGGCACTTAACTTTATTCGATCATCAAGAATATGGTTTCTTTAGTATGGTGCCTTAAAGCTACGATTTGTCCTAAGTTTAGCTTTCGGCACCTTGGCCGTCAATGCCACGCCCACCCGGCCTGCCTCAAGCTTAGGGTGAAGGGTTTCCAGGGCCCAAAGTTTCAGGGCGCAGGATTTAGGTTCATGCAAACTGATGGCAGATTTACACTACAATTTACAAAGCAACCCAGCTGGGGTTATACACAGTCTCAAAATGGCAGGCAGCACCGCATCCTCCTTGCATAAAAAGTCTTTATTGGCTTTTACACCAGCAGTACTGCCCTGGATGTTGATGCCTATGTTTGCTGTGAGAAAACCTCGCGCGTTTTTTTCATGCCTAAATTAAGCTACCGCTCTGAGTCCTGAGCTCTGGAACCTGAACGCTTTCGACAATCTTCAAACCCCTCTGGCCCTGGAGGATCTTGGGACTTAGTAACTAAGGTTATAGATACCCGAATTAGGGTTATCAGTAATACTTAATAAGTAATTAGTAAAAAATTATCTAGTTACAGTATTTACACCCTAGTTAGTTATTAAGTCCCATGATCCTCCAAGTAGGTCGCTAGCATTGCTGGACTGTAAATCCTCAAAGCGAGAATACCAGTAAACCTCTTAGGCCGTCCCTACACTCCGAAAGGAAGTCAAAACCGTAGCCGTAACGGAGCAACGCCCTAAACCCTAAACCCTGAAACCCTAAACCATCAACCCTAAAACCCTAACATCCTAAAAGCCAAAAACCGTAAAAACCTAATCACTAAATCTGAAAACACAGCCCTCTGCATTGGCCTTGAGACTGCGAAGGCGGAATGCGGGCCGAATCTGGGAGCAAGGACCGAGCGGTGAGGCTCTATCCAGAGGCTCCATAGTAGTTCCTTTTTGGGATTACCTTATAGGATTCTAAATATGAACCCCAAAAAAGAACTACTATGGAGCCCTAGGGTATGAACCCACATCCTCATTTTCTTTGGCCCTACCCACAGGCCCCAAAGTAGTTCCTTTTGGGGATTCCCTTATAGAGTTCTAGATATGAACCCCAAAAAGGAACTACTTTGGGGCCTATGGGTAAAGTACGTACCAAGTGTCTTCTACAATGTGTACATGGAGGAAAAAGCCGCATGAACACAGCAGGAAGGATTTAGGGTTTAGGGGTTTAGGGTTTTGTTAAACAACAATCCACCAAAGCTTCGAATTTACCAGCTGCCAGCACCGCAGCACAACTTGTCGAAGCTAGCAATACAACAGACCAGTATGGGCGCAGGCATCTCGTGACAAACGAACCAGATTCGTAATCACTGCCTGCTCCTTCACTACCATCCTTTCGTTCAAGACAATGAGCCTACGTCAAATATTCTTACGTTCATCAGGGTCTAGGGTCTAGGGCTTCATCACCGAGTATCACCCTGAAGAAGCCTGAAGACATACATCCTAAAGGATGACCCTCAAGATCTAGTCTCCGAACCTCCAAACCCTGAACCCGATGTTACAAGCCGTAAAGTTGGAACATGAATTAAGGACGATTAGTGGTTCGTGCTGGGTTTCCCTCGATTCTTTACTAAGGGTATCAGGACAATGATGTTCCATCGGGAATAAACTGCAAGAATAGGGTTCTTTTAAAGGGGTCTATAAGGGGCCATAAGGGTACTATAGTATAGGGGCCTTAATAGTTTGAACAAACCCTAAGCCAGGAGCCCGACGAGGACCCAAGCTTCGTTCTGCCACTGGCGGCTTCACCGCCGTGGAAACGAAAGCCGTGGGTGAGGCCATGGTGCCAGATGTGCAGGAACCGGTAATGTAGACTACAGCATAGAAGCCATTGAGCATAAAAACTTTTCTCAAGAAGGAAGCTCAAAGCAGGCTGAGGAGCTGCTGGCTAAGCAGTGAGGCTAGTGGAGGTGTTTACCACTATCTAGCACTTCGCCCGTTTCTCAGCATAAGATGTGGTTCTGACTATGTGCAGCTAAGCCAAGCCAGGAGGCAAACGAGCATTGCTGACCTTGCCACATTCCAGGCTCTGGTATGAGGCGCCTAAACCCTAAAAACCCAACCCCTAAACCCGGGAATATCAGGGTTCAACGGCATCGAAGCACCGACCCCCCCCCCAAGTCAAACCTCGCCGCTTCAAGGCAAGAGTCCTCGACACCTCCACCCTTACGAATCCTTGAGTCTCACTTCATATTCCCTAAGGGTCCAAGTACTCCTTATTTATGGTTTTTGATACCTAAAAAGGCTTTAAAGTCCTATAATAAGGAGTACTTGGACCCTCTGGGATTATGTTGAAGGGATATGGTCATACAGGCCCTAAACCGTTATCATGGGAGCAGAAACGATTTTCGGATGGGGCTTTGAGCTCTCGGGCCGCATTGTA